ACTATTTTATCTTCATGTTTATTCAGCCGATCGTTCAAGAAGAATCGAATTGTATAGATGTCAGGCGAAAGTGTTTTTGATTAGTTCTGATTATTAGTGGATCAAAAGAGACGATGTACTCTTGAAAGGCTGTCATATTTAAGTTATTTGAAGTTAAGTTATCCAAAAACGGTTAACTTGGTAAAGTTACTACTTCCCATTTTAAATTAGAAAAAGTGTAAGTATTTTTTGTATAATTATTAATACAAATGAGATAGAGAGATACAATTTTCGCCATTGAAACGAGAAGATGATGACATATTGAATTGTGTATTGCTGATTTTTCTGTATATGTTTTCTAAAGAATTTTTAATCATTCATTGTCAGAAAAAAAAGTACCGAAAATATCGGAAAATAATTAAGAAAGGCAGCAAAAAAAAACTGATGTAGTACATTATGTACTATGTATATTTTTCCAGTTTGGTATCAGTAAACTTACAGAACAAGCTGAATTCAGTGTGATTCTTATGTAATCGATCGATTTCCGCAAGATTCTGAAAATGTACTAGATAAAAAATCTGATGATTGTGAAAAACTATAGATTTGATTAGTTCTCATATACATAGTCATGTCCCTATACCAAAACTGTGAATACTGTATCAATTGATTATCTCGCACCGCAATCATCATAGGCTATTCATATTTCAAATTCCTTAGTTTAATGATAAGACTAATAATATGATTCGAACATGGTAAATATTCTAGAGTTACAGTACAAATGAGCCCATTGTTCGATTTATTAAATATTAGTCAGAAAAATCTGTACTAAAAAAAAGTGACACTATATCTCTATTACATGCAAAAAATGAATATCTCTATTCAAGTACACAAAAAATGAATGGGCATTAATTTTGTTTCCATTATAATTCGGATAAAATTAGTGTCCATTCAGTTTTAGTACATCTTAATAATATTATTCAATTTTTGTCATCTACTACACAATAGAGATAGTGTTCCTTTAATTTTATCATGTCGTGATAAGTGAAAATCAATAGTTCTCTCTCGAGTTGAGGAATTTATTGTTTGTTTAGATAAATGAATCCTACAGATGGATTGAGCAACGCTTCTGATATATCAACTACGCGTTCATACACTCTGACGAATAGTATATGAAAGTCTTTATGAAAATATTTATATATGATACAAAAAAGTTTTATTATACGTTACAATCTCATCAACTATTTAAGGGTTTATTATTCTACGACTTTTTTTTTTACAGTGATGTTTTAGTTGCCATCTAATGTCTTTCATTGTCTATGATAGAATTGAATTTGATCAGACATTGTCTACTCTAAAATGATTGCTGTAGAGCGATATGCTTTCCAATAGTTTTTTCACAGGCATTGCTCAATAAGTCTTTTAAAAGTAATACTTTTTCTCATGTTTAGTTTCCATCTTCGCTACTTGTTGTGTTTTTCAATACAAAGAAAATAACGAGAAACTGTCATATTTTCATCATTCATCATTTGTTGCAAAACTAATCATGGAACTTCATTCAAGTATTTGTTTGCATATATGTATTCTGATGAAAAAAAAATAAGAAATAGATGAAGATACAAATGTAAGATGCTTGAAAATGTTTGTATTTCACTTCGAGAAAAGGCTCTCAAATTTCAAGATGAAAATCGATCGTCAGTGATCATTTACAAGGCTTCAAGTAAGAACTATTCGATATATTGATTATGTTTTCATAAATCATTCATTCAGCTGAAGCAAACAATCATATCGTTGCCTCTATTCTTGTACGTTGATGATGAGTCAATAAACTCAAGGAGAATCATTCATCGTCATGAAAAGAAGGAGCAATATATGGTGCATACTAATTGATTATATATCCATTCACTACATATTGTCTTCTATGGATTCTCAAAATAGAATAAGTATGTTTGGTGAAGGTGGAATACATTCATTTGTTCTCTTAAAAAACGAACGATTTTATTTACTCGACTATATCGAAGACAGCTTATAAAATTAATCTTCACTCCTTGCCGATAAAAGTTAATATTCGAATGCTAGAATAAAGACTTCGCTTCGTCTTCTAATAAGTTGACTCAACGATGTTTAGACAAGTATTGATTATCAGCGAGAAGAACTTTCGAATAGAGTATCCATCAATCAGTGGTAACTGACATTACACGAGATGTGGTGGCAAAATCATTGTTACTTTTGAAAGAAAATAAATAATCTCGTGACTGAGCAATAAAATGTGAAATTTATTGATTTCTTCCATTTGAAGAAGAATTTTGTATTGATAGTATAGATGTAATTCATTAGCGCTGTTTAAATAAAGCAGTCATTAATCTCCAATTGCAATGTCTACTTGTGTAGAATGCACTTCCAATCATCAATGATAAGATCAATGAGGCAAATAAAGGCGTGAGAAGTCATTGATGAGTACCGACCAAGAGTACAAACATGTTTGAAAGGAGTCATACAATTAAGGCGAGGAGAGGACGGAAAACAAGATGATTTATCTTTCCTAAATTTGTCTTACGTTCTACGTTTCTCTCTGATAATTCTCTACTATGGATAACTAGCGTCTTCAATAGTTAGTGAACCAGATTGCGTGTGTTAAAGCACAGTTCAGTTTGTAATTTTTTAAAGAAAATTAGTTATTTTTCGTTAGAGATAAAATTAGGTCATATTTTGAAGAGTAATATACGAAAAAAAAATAGAAGATAAGACAACTGTCAAACGTAGGATTTGGTCATCAAAATATCTAAAATTCATTTAATAGATATTGCAAAATATTACATGTGAAATCTAGTTCAATATTTGGACAGGAACCTCAAATGTCTTTGTACTGAACATGTTTCAACCAAGTAGCTTATAGGTATCTGATAAATATCTTATCTTAATATGTACATAAATTTCCAATAGTTTCCACGAAATACTAATATAATGTATTTTTTCGGATATGATACTTACAACAGTTTCGTAGAATATCATGGATGACGCACGGTCAATTTTCTAGATGAATTAATAAAGTTCTAAATGGGTTCATTTTGTTCCACTTCCCCAGTAGTGAAGGGTATGGGTCAGAGATCCTAATAGGCTGGGCTTGCCGAATTCTTTTTTTGACAAAAAAACCATGGTTGGGCTGGGCCGATCCGATTTTTTTGATTGGTACTCATGGACTACAAGCTTTGGCCCATGGGTCAACGATAGTCCATGGACTAAATTTTGATTTGAGTTAAAAACAAAATTTCTCGGGAAATATCGCGTATTATCACTGATCTTTCTTCTCTCGAAACATCTCGTCTAGTTCTTTTCTTTCACCAACAACTACATGACTATCAATTTCTATTATCACCTACCCTTCCGCTATTGCTACCAATTCCTTTCATAGACAAAAACCATATGCATTTGAACGGGTCAAACTTCTTCTGAAATAACATCCCTCGATGTACACTGCTATTAAAAATGATAAAATAAAAGAATAGTTAGCGATCATAAATCACTTTGACGAACATAGCAAGTTAAACTATTTCGTGAAGAAATGTTCAACTAGGTGGATCACCCATGGGTGGACTGGGTCAATTTTTCAATGAAAACCATGGGTGCACTAGACGAAAAGTCGATAACCCATGGATCGACTTTCTTCGGCCCAGTCCATTCGGATCTCTGACTTCTATAAGTTTAATTTAACTAACTGTTTAAGCAGTCTGAAGCAATTGCTTTGTTCTTCTTCTATATTGTAAATTGTATAGTATTGCTAGTAAACTTTTATTGTTATACAAAGCTTGAAATTAATACTGTCTTTGTTTTTCTATACGTGTCTTATTTAATGTCTCAGGAAAATCAACAATTAACTTGTAGCTTTTTTTTTGATGATTTCACAAAATTACATTGCTCATAGTATTCATATTTTATTGAAATAGAAATATAAATTATAGTAACCATCTTCGAGTAATAAACTAGGGTAATAATTATAAATAATCAATATTTCAAATGATGCCTTTTTTTTTGATTTTTCAATTGAAGTAAAATAATCAGTTATATTGCAATGTTAAAAGTTTGACTTTTATTATGAGCCGATAGTGACGCTATTTCATAGCATTATTTTCGTAAGTGTATGAAAGAAATAGGCATTCTAATATTCAAGTGCAAAACTGAATGCATACAACGAACTTGAAATTTCAATGATACAGTACTACAATACAAAAAAAATGAATTATCCTCTATGTCAATTCACTCAAATAGGATGTGTTTTTCATACAGATAAAATAAGTAAATACTACTATCAAGCATTATTGTTGATAGTATGAAAATAATTTGACCTGTTATCAAGTAAGAAAAATATACGTGTAATGTTTCATAGATAATTTTCAATTGTTATCTAAGAGAATAAGAAGAAATTAAAATGAACTATATTGATACACATAGAACAAATTAACTGAAATGAAGATATTTTAATTTTTTAATCGTCATGCTATTTACAGTCTACATTATATATTTTTCAAATTGTTGATAAAACTTAATGGATTGCATTAAAATCCAAGTGACATCAAATATTTACTTTTCATAAGTATTAAACATCCTTCCGACGACATATAATACATTTCAGTTGCTAGTTTGCTTCTTCTTTTTTTTTTTTTTTTTTTTTTTTTGTCGAATATATCTAAATCAATATTCATCCATTTTGTTTCTTTGTCAATAATTGCATTGTATTGTTTTCTTTAGTAGGTAAGAATGAAACAAAAAAAAAATCTTTTCTTTTTTTTTAAAGTGTTTCCTCGCTTTCTTTCATTGTCGTCATGAGAGAAAAAGCTGTCGACAACAAGCGAACAAAGAGTTGTGAGCATCCGCTTTTTTTTTGCAATGACGGTAGTAACCTGTGTAATTCTGTTTACATATTTCACTCATTGTTGCCAACAACAAAAGAGAAAAGAAAGAATTTAATAAAATTATAATTCTCATACGTTTTTAGACATTTATATTCTCACCATAGAAGATTAAAAATGATTGTTCAACCAGCACGTATTATATCAAAACAACATAAACAACCAAATCGTGAATGTCTCTATGCTTGGTATCCAGAAGTAGTAAATGATATACCAATGAAATCACGTGATATTTATATATATAATGGTCTTGATAAAGATTTATTAGAACAAAAACCATTAACAAATGGATGTAAGAAAAATAAAAATGTTGAAAAAAATAGAAACATTAAACATTAGAGACATTCAAAAACAAAATAAAAGAAAAAGTCAATTTTCTTCTTTTATTTTGACATTCAATTTTTTTTTTTTGTATTTTTTTCTTCATTTTCTTCATCTTATTGTTGTAGTAACAAATACTTATAATAATAATAATAACAACAATACAAGTTTTGAACTTGTTCAACGATATAAACAAAGTATTGCATCAAGTGATCCAGCTTATCATTCAACAGAAACAATTGATGAAGCATTAAATCCACCTTGGGCTTTACATTACGAAATAAAACGACGACCAATAACACCAAATCTTTCATTGAATTCAACTGATAGTACGTAAAACTAATTCAAAATTTATGAGTAAACTAATTTATTCGGTTTATGACATATACATCATTGGGGATTTGAATTTCTCTCAATGAAAAACAATAATGAATATATAATATTGTTATTTTTAGTTACATAGACAAAAGAAAATATTATTTTTTTTTTCTGTTATTAGATAGACGTATATAATTTAAATATAAGAAATTATTAATATAATATTATCAAAACAAATCTATAGGCAACTCAACTGGGAAATTGTATAATGAATCATACAAAAACGACATGTACTTTAACGATCTTTTGAAATATATAATGAGTTTATTTTTTGTTCCATACATTTATAAGGAAACAAAACAACCAATGAATTACGTGTGAAGATATTATTAGAGAATTATTTTGTTTTACAAACTGTGTATATATAGAAATTGAAAAATAAGAATTCCAATATTATTTGCAGAACTTTATTAAATTAGTTATAAATACTCCTCCTTCTTGATATCCGTTTCCGTTATAATGCGTGTTTAAAATAATGTATCAAAAAACAAAAATTACTATTTTTTTTTTCTCTTTAGTATCAATGCATAAAGAATCACCTCGTCGATTGAAGAGTGCTCCAGTTACTCGTTCACTTCCTTCAACTACAATTCTTACAATTCCAGAACCACGTTTTATAACTTCTTCTATTCCAGTTCCAACAACTAATTCAATTCCATCACCAATACGAACTAAAACTCGTTCTTCATCTGCTAAAGTACGTCTTAATACAACTATACCAAATGAATATAATCAAAAACAACAACAACAACAACAACGTCGTGAAATAAAATCAGCACATATATCTCGTCAAAAAGTCGATAGGAAATTATCTGATGAAGAAGTTCAACAAATTTTCAAACGTGTCTACGGAAATAATATTGAACAAACACAAACACAAGAGGAACAACCAGTGCAAATTATATATACACAAACTCAATCTCAACCACCTTCATCTTCACCTGTTTATATTTATCAAAAGTCAGCAAGTTGGTGTGCTGATGAAGTTTCATCAATTCCTATTCGTAAATCTATTGAAATAAATCCTATTGTACTTAATCCACATCATATTCATCGTCCAGCTCTTATTGCTGTTAAAAATATTGATAAAAAATCTATTGCCAGAGAATGTTCAATAACCAAAAAATTAACTCAATATCAACGACGATACCATCCTGGTCATGGAAAACGAAATGAACCTTTACTTGCATTCACACCAGTATCACACAAATCAAAATTATCACTTGAAATTGATGGTGTTAAATTAATATATGATCCAAAAATAACTTTTCAAGATAAATCACCTAATATTACAAAATATTTTATTGATGGACGATTATATTTAATTAAAGATAAATATTATAATGTTTTAGATAATATCGATCTATCAACATTAGAAAAATATAATCAAAATTTAACGTAAGTCATTGAGAATTATGTTCTTAATTTATTTTCTTTTTTTATTCTTTTAATTAGTCTTCCTTCACAAACAAAATATTATCAAACAATTCCTATGAAAAAATTTCAAATATCACAACCATTGCCAAATTTCCATGAGAATATATCTGAAACCTCATGTTCTAATACATCATCAAAACATGTACATCATTATGTTATTGATCCAAATTTAATATCAGAAAATCTTAATATAAATAAAATGTCATTATCAAAACGACCACCAACAGCGACTATTTATGCTTAATAATAAACTAATACATGTCTTTTTAAGTGTTCTTGTTTTGATGATCGTCTCTCTCGCTCGTGCCTTTTGTATTAAAAAAAAAAGAGAGAGAGAGAGATCGAGTGTTTTTTCTACTTCATCAGATTAGTGAAATAGAACCATCGTATTAGAAAAAAAAAGAGAGAACAACTCTACACAGAGTAAAAAAGAATATTATCTTTTGCTCGATATAAAAAAATATTATGATATTTTAAAATTATTGATATATATATATATTTATTTATTCTTCATAATATCATTGATAAAGATAGAAATTAACTATTATGAAATTTTTAAAAAAAAAGTATTCTTGCTTTTTTTTTTCTTTTTCTATTATTTCTTAGGTGAGGATACACATCTTTCAAAAGCAATCAGTGGAAACATTACGGCTGCTTGATCTGGATACTAACATGAAGTGAACTAGAATCTGTGTAAATTAACAAAAATTCTTTTCGTTCTTTGTGTGCAATAGAAGTCGTTCTACTTGAAGCATATATATATATATATATATAGATATATATAGATATATAGCCATAGTGGTACTCAAGCATATAGAATAAAAGAAAATGAAGAAAAAGAAAAGAAAAAAAAAAGACGACGAAGAAAACACCCAAGTGATGCTAAATAACTAGATCTATCAAAAAGAAAAGTAGACAAGCGAGAGAAATGTTGATTGGAGAAATATGAGAATAAAAATTGACAACTATTTTCTTGTTCGTCCTTCTACTTCCTACACAATTTCAACATACACCTCATCATTCATTATCAATTAATATATGTAGACAAAGACAGAAAACAAAGAAAAGTACGTTGATTTTTAAAAATCTATACTCAGTAAGTAGACTATGAAGCCATATTAAATAATTTATATCTACTATGAACTCATTCGGTTTTTTTTTTCTAATCTATGTATTAGATCATAAATTAAAATTATAAATGTTAGCTTTATTTGATGTAGTCTTTTTCTTTTTTTTTTTTTGTTCTACTATTTATAAGAAATGGATCAGTTCATATTTCTATGTCATCGAAAGACTTATATTTCTATTCATCTTTCGTTATTGTTGTTATTTTTGACTGTGTTCATATTACCATAAGTTCCAGAAAATATGTAAATAGATTTTTTAATTCATTTATTATAGTTAAATGAACAACAGTATATATATATATATATATATATATATATTCATATTGTCGATATTCTAACAGTATGTTAATATTCCTGCTGTTACATTCTACAAAAATCGTCTTGTTGTTCATCAACTAACATTTGATCGATCTATTTTTCCTATTACTAACATAATATAACAATATTGAGTCTATCCGATCGTTTTTTTTTGTATTTTGTTCGGAATAGATGAGTATGATCAGTTATATCGATTAAGTTAGATTAAATTAAAAAAAAAAATGATGTATGTTTTCATGTAATCAAACCATTTAGTTAATTAGATAGTAAAATTCTAATTTTTTCTGTTAAAGAAATTACTTTTTTTTTCTTAATTAAAAAGCCGTAATCATTTATAAATATGTAACCTGAAGGTAAAATTCTTGTTGAAAAGTAATATACTAAGAGATATTTAATATTGTGTAATAAGTTTCTTTTTTATTTTACTTAAGAATCAACATGTATGATTTAAAATTTTTATTAGAAAAGAAGTATATTAATTTTTTTTTTTTTTTTTTCTTAAATTTTAAAAAATACTATAAAATAATGTAGAATTTTTAAATATAAGGTAGGAAAATTTATATCTAAATCATTAATTAAATAGAAATTTATCGAAAAATTTTCCGGAAATAGTAATTTTTCTTTTTTTGTCAATTACTTTTGATTGACAGCTAGAATAGTTTCATTTAGTTTCCGATATAATTTTTTTTTTAAATTTTCTTAAATAATATATGAAAAACTTTCTCATTAATGATAATATGATAAGCTTTAATTTTACCTTTGGGTCATATTCAGTATTAACATCATATTAATAAGATAAGAAATATTAATACTTCTAGCATATCTTAAAATGTGTTAATTCTTGTCAAATGCAAATATGTCTATTTGACAATAACTACTAGTATTATTTACTTTGTCTTTTTCTTTTGCTATTTGAGTGCATTTTATTCTAATCAAATGAGTTTCTAAGAAGAAAAATCTATCTTATTAGAACGAATACGTTATAAAGAGATGACATATTGTGTATATGATTGTTATTCTGTTAGACATGTCCCATTATTTGTTGCTTCCTCTCTTTTCAATAAACATGTAACACATTGACAAATACACTTACGTCACGGAAATCTTTTTTTAGTTTTTGTAGATTCATTACCTATACATATATAGAAATAGATATCGTCATGTCTTCTACAATGAATTTCTTTCAGACATTAAGATTCTTTTTTTTCTTCTTCTTCTTTATTCACGTAAAACTGAATGTCATACGTTTTTTTTTTTTTTGTTCTTTCTCGTTGTTGTTGCTAATAATATGTTGTTTGATTAGATAGACACAATATCTTCTATAATTTAACACTATTGAAATCTTTCGTTAAAGAAAAAATAATGAGAATTTCGTTTTTTTTTTTTTTCTTTAAACAAAGTTTATTTCAGTCTAAATAATTGTCATTGAAAAAGAAAAACGGAAATTAATATTAAGACTATATTACTTTGTTATTGAATGAGTTATTCATGCGTATTAGGAAAGTAGAATTGTGTTCAAGAGTGTAAAAAGAAAACGGAAAATGTATTAACGAAGTATTACATACGAATTTTACTCCTACACACGTAATTCTCTTTCTTTATCATAGTTGATCTTTTTTGGCTTTTTTTTATGCTATTTGTTAACATGATCAAAATGAAGTCATAGAGGTAAGATAATAATGATATGCTTTTAGCTTTTTTTTTTTTTCTGTAAGTCAAAGAACAATAATTGGTCAGTTTTCAATGATAATAACCTATATACTTTACAAAACGGAAAGCAACAGAATTTATTCTTCCTCTCTTTTTTTTTTGCATAAGTGTTAATAGATGATAAAGAAAAGTATTATTCAAAGATAAAATTACATTTTTTTTTTTTCTTTTATATTATATAGGTAAGTATACATTTTTATAAGCGCATCAGATTTTCTCTTTTTTTTTCTGTCTTAATAATAATAATAATAATAATAATCTTGTAAGATTTAGATATATGATATTGTTTTATAATAGAAAGTTACTCTTATTTTCATTTCTCATAGAATATATATATAAAGAAACTATTCAAAAACAAAAATTTTTGATAAATATTTGTTTTCTTTTTTTGAATTTTCTTTATAATTTGTAAGTAAAAAACAAAATACATATTGATTTTCTTTTAACAGGAAACTATGCAATCAATGATATAATCCCATTTGGATTTGGTATGAGTTTACCATTGAGATTGTCAAAATCAATGAATCCTATGCATTGTAAATCAATGATAAGAATAATTAGAATAATTTGCGCTTAAATGTCAAACGAAACTAATGATAAAAATATATACAAAACTAATTTGTCGACTGTAAGTTCAAAAGTTTTATAATTTGAGCTCCCCTTTTTTTTCTTCTTCTTCTTCTTCTTATTCTCAGACATTTAGTTTTCTTTTTTATCGATCTTTGTACTCTATTATTAAGATTGACAATAAGAATTTCTTCAAAAACCTCATATTTGTGACACAGAATAATGATAACGATATGTAAATATTTCTTTTTTAACTAATTTTACGAACTATTAGAATGAGAATGGATACATCTGTCGCTCGACAAATTTTCTTTTTATGTGTGTCTAGCAAGAGCACTTAGAGAATATAAATGTGTCATTAGATTACCGGCAGTTAAAAAAAAAATAAAAAAATTGGTAAATATAAATATATTCCCTTTTTAGAATGTGTAGAATTATTTAACATAGCAAAAGAAATATTAATCATGTGAAGTATGAACACAACAATAGAGTCAACAACTGTATTAATTAATATTCCCGATACAGATAATTTTGCTAAACAATTTAAACATGGTTGTCAATTATTTCGATTTTATTCAAGTATTATTCTTGTTATTGTTGGTAAGAAATTATTATTTTGTTTTATTTTTCTTATTAATAATTATTTTATTAGGTATGATTGGTTCTTTACTTTCAATAAAAGTTTTTTCATCAACAAAAATCCGACGAAATTCATCTAATGAATATTTGATTACAAGTAAAAAGAAAAAAATTTTCTTTTAGAATAATTAATAATTATACAATAAAAAAAAAAAAAAAAAAGCAAAAATAAAATATCTCCAATCTGTGTATAATTAAATGAACTGATTGATTTTTATCTCGAAAAAAATAACATCAAGAAATATCACTTAGAACAAACATAATTAACTTCAAGATAAATTTTTGTTTTTGAACTCATTAAAAAAAAACAAAAAACTCCAAACCTTTCCTGAAGTTGATCTTATGAATTTTTAAGTAATAGTTTTTTTGAAATAGATAAATTATTTATTCAGTTACTAATACAAAAAGCAAAAAAAAAGAGTTCATTTGATTATAACATCAAATAGAAATATTTTAAATAATTTTGTATTATTATTTATAATTGAAAATTTTCTATTTTATTTAGTGAGTTTTATAGTGGCTTTACTATTATTTAATTTCTTTTGCGATGAAGTTCTTCGATCACTTGTACATGATTTTAATGTTGATTTACCATTAAATCTTGTCGATTTATCACGCCCACTCTGTAAATGTAAGTTATTAATCAAAAAGGCAAAAACAAAAAAAAGATTTCTTTTTTTTTATTTCAAAAGTTAAATAATTAACTAAAAGCCATGTCTATTGCTCAAGGAAATCAACCGATAGGAAAAAATTTTTTCAATCCTATACATTCATTTAAATTAAATGTATAAAAATTTATAGAGTAAAAATGAAGAAGAACATTTGACATAAGAAGATTTATATGCCTTCTAAAAAAAAATGACAAAATAATTTAGAATTTCTATTTTTATATTGAAAAATATAATAATACTTGAAAAAAATAAAACTAAATTTTAATATATTTCTTGAGTTCTATATCAATATATGAGGCAAATCGATTAAGATTTTAATTGATTGTAATAAAAATTTGTATGAACTTGCAAATGAAATTTAAGCTATTCTCTCAATTTGTCCTAATGTAATAAAAATTCGTCTTGTCAACAGGATTCTTTGATTGCTTTTGATTATTCAAGTAGTTTCGAGTGCTTTTAGTTACTTATGATTTACTTGAGGAATTGCGTTCTGATAATAATTTAGTCAATATATGAAAATATACTAGAGAAATTTTTCGAGTACATATACTTGTTAAAAATATTTATTTTGTTCTTATAGGTTCAACATATTTTCGTCATACATTACGTTTTGCTGCTCATTGGATAGTTGTTGCATTTACATTAGAACGTCTTATTGTTGTATATTTTCCTTTACAAACATCTGTACTTTGTAATCCACGTAGTGCAAGACGAATATGTTTATTTATATTAGTTATATCATTTTTAATACCATTTTATTCATTTATTATGTCTGATGTAAGTGTTGATGAAAAACATCATTTACCTGAATGTGATATAATGAATAAATTTAAAAAAATTTATTTTTATTTAACAATTATTTATGGAAATTTAACATTAACATTTCCAATATTAATTGTTTGTATTGTTAATATATTAACTGTTCGACAATTATTACGTGCTGGACGTTTACGTAAACAACAACAAGAATTAAATCAAACAAAAAAAGTTGATAATGCAAATAAAGATTATGTTAATATGATTGTTAAAAATCAATTAGAAAATGATAAAGTAACATGGATGCTTGTTGTTATATCAATAACATTTGGTATATTAAATTTTCCATATTTTATTCTTTGGTTAATTGTTTGTATAATACGTGTACGTGGTAAAATACCATCGGCATATATTGAATCAGGAAGAATGGTTGCCGAAGTTTTTTATTTACTTCATTATAGTTTATATTTTTTTCTATATGTTATATCTCGACGAAGTTTTCGTAAAGTTTTAATTGAAAAAATGCGTTGGCGTTGTGATTGTTTTGATCAATGGCGTTTAAATGAAATGCGTCTTGATGCAGCATTATTATCACAACAAATACCACGACAACCAACAATACATAATGGTATTAATAATAATAATATAAGTATAACAAGTCGAACATCAATAACACATTTACGTGTTAGTTCAACTCGACGTAAACAACAAACAAATAATAATAATAAAAATAACTCAAAAAAATTCAATAAAGATTTATCAAATTCATTGATGTTAACTGAAAAATAAATAACATATAATGTTCAAAAAATAATACTAATAATAATAACAAAAAACTATTGTATAATAATAATAAATATGTTTCTTCTATACATATATCTATCCTAAACTTTCTCATGTATTATTATCGAATTAAGTAGTAGATATCTTCAATATTTTTGATTTTTTTTTTTTCTTCTTTTCTTTCATTGTATCGAAAGAAATAAGTAGAATTGAAATAGGAAAGTTGATTTTCTCATTACATATCCTTTTCTTTTTGACTAGTTTAAGCAAAAATATCAATATTCATATTTGAACTAGAATTTGCTAATGTTAAGATTCTCCTCCTCCTCCTCCCTATCAAAAATCGATCTCAGCCTAGATGCATGCTGAAAGCATGACATTTGAGTGAAATATTCACCAAACAAGAGTCAAAAACAACTCATTTGGCAATTGAAATTTCTCTGCCCAAGGCTCATTCTATATATTTAAATTTTTCTTTTTTTATCAGAATGCAGGGCATTACAGAGTCCTTGTTTTTTATATGTTTACTTTCTATGCAGAAAAAAACAAGGCAATAAGTTCAATGTCTCAAAATATGCTCTAAAACAAAAGGGTATCCATTCATATATTTATTTGTATATAAAATCAACGCTTAATTTAAAAATAAAAAAACATTTTTCGTTTTTTTCAAAATAAGAATATTTTTTAAGAAAAATTTTGGTCAAAAATGAGATACCGATAAAAAAAACCATACCGTCTGTGAAAGACGAACAATCTTCCCATACATTTATCTTAATTTTGATATTTTTGACAAAAATTAACTTTTATTCAAGGGATCGTGGGTGCTTTAAAACGATTATTTTATTTAATATTCTAAGAAGAATAGTTCAATTTAGTCGGAAACATAAAACTAATAATGTTACGATAATTAAAGTATGTAAAAATATGTTAATAATAAGAATATTACTGTATTATTCTATTGAGGTCATTCTGTTCCAGAAATCATGAAAACTCTCGACATATTAGATTACAATATGAAAATATTTATAATCAATCATTTTCAAATTAAATTTCGACGAAAAATATTTTTACTAAAAATCGATGTCATTTAGTTGAGTTTTTTTTTTCATGTTAAATGGAATTTCGATAGCTCAAAATACGAATGCATTTATAAATATTGAGAAAATCTTGATTTGAGAAGTAGGAAGATAATTCTTATCAACTGACGATTTGAATGATAATAGTGTAAATGAAGTTTTTATTTTATTTGAAACTAAAAAGAAAATAGATTTGTAAGATCCGAAGGTCTAGATAATAAAATATAAATTGACTTGTGTCAAAATGTAATTATTCAACGGTGAATCCAAATAAATTGATTTCATAAAAATAAAATAATAGTATATAGTTTAAATCTAAAGTTTCTTTATAACTAATCAATTTTCTGTATTTTTTCACAGCAAAACATTTCAAGTACATATTTTCAATCAGTCAATGACGTTCTATTGAATCATGTATCATTTAATGAAATCAAAAAATTCTGTTCGATATTTTCTTTTAATGCATCTTATATAATTACTTTTAATTTGTCGGTCTCTGATTTCCTTGCTTTATCTTTCATGATCATCATCATCAAATTTTCTTTTTTTTTTTTTTTTGCGTAAACTAGCAATGACGAAATAATATGTATATAAGAGTGTTCTTCATCGTCTACCAAGTGTACAAAAGTCATTTGGGAATGAATAGTTATCCGTTATCATCACGAGTGTCATCTTAAAGACGACGAATACACACAGCAGGTATCTAAGTGTTAACGACGATCACTTCTTTCTCTCTCTCTCTGTCTTGTTGTTGACGCAATCAAATTGTCAAGTTAAATGATATTATATATACACATATACAAGTCCCTCTAGGCGTATAGTTGTCTTATTAATCAACATAATTTAAAGAAAAAAAAAAAAAGCACTAAATGGTTACAGTTCGTTAGTTATCGACACGCATGTTGTTGTTACCTTATACAGTTTTAATTAATAATGAAAAAAGAGGATTTTTTTGTATATACATCAATCAATCAAGTATATCTATATATATATAGGTATATACACATACAGGTAACATGATTAAAATATTAGATAATTCATTTATGAAGGAAGCATACACATTTTTTGATGTATATATATATATACATCAAGCGGTTAGTATGCAGTAGTTATTTCTCCTTGTATTCAATCATTAACAATATATATATATAGACACGTTTGACATTTGCATCGAACCATGTTTTAGTTCAAGATAGATACATAGTAAGTAGATTATATGAAGATGAACTTTTTTTTTTTTTCGTCTTGCTGTACAAACAAACAGCATGTGTGTTAATGTCGATTAGTAGTCAACTCATTTCGTTACGGTGATTTGATTTCTGTTGTATATGTGCGTGCTTATTTTCTCATTCATATGATTTTTGGATAGTCGAATGTTAATAAACGATGCCAATCAGAAGAAGAAGAAGTAGAAGAATATTTTTGTTTTTTATTTTGCGTGATTTATTGAAAAGAAGATCAGTGATCTGTCACATTGACGTAGAATGTGGACATCGTTTTATTTATTGATCAGTTGTTATGATGTGCGATATTTGGGAAACAAAATATCTCTTCTTTGTTGATATTTATTGACACATCTTTTTTGGACAAATACTCATCTTCAATATTCAATTAATCGCACCTATATATATATATATATACGATGATAAGTTCAAATAAATTTTGATAAATATCTATACTTGAATCATTATAAAAAAAAAAAGACAGTTTATTTATTTGAATTAAAATGAATAAATTATAACTATCATAGATTTATTTCTATTTGGAAAGAAATTTTAAAATCATTCTATAATGTAAGACTTTGAAGAATTGTTAAGTCAATAAAAAATAGTACTTTTCATATTAATCAATTGTTCATTTTGTTGAATAATGGAATGCAGATTTATTATTTTACAATAGTAGATCTATGATTTTCAAAGAGCGAAACCTTTCCTCCCTCTTTGAATTCACTACCGTCATTTTAATTATCATCTATTTGACTCAAAATACCTCCCTTCCGCAAGATAGAAGGAACGATGCGTCGAGCATAATACAAGATTTTAAGTCAGCATTATATTTGAACTTTTAAAGTCCTACAAAACTCGTTTTGGTTTTCTGAATGGGATAACGTGAAATAATTTTCATACGGATATATACAAAGATGATGTGACACTCTTTCGAATTAAGAAAACTTTTTGTTTTCTTTCCCAATGAAATCAAAATTTTAGAAAAAAACTCGTTACACTCTCTTCCCCCAATGTTGACTACTTGAACATATGAATTACCAAAAATTAATGAAATTGATAATTAACCAAATAAATCGTTTATTATGAATGTGTGTCAAATCTCAATGTTTTTTTTTTTTTTATAGAGTGAAAAATCGATTATTCTCCAATGAAAAACAAAAAAATTTTTTTTTAAATTTTTTCTTAATTATATTCTAAAGAATTCACTTTTCTTTTATGATAAGTCAAATGTTATCTCCGGACACCTTCAAAGAACATCTATATTATTTCATCATAAAATAGAGAAAATCTAGTTTATGTGTTCTCTATTCTTAGACATACGAAAATATTTCATATACGATCATCTATTTTATAAAAATGAAAAAAGAAGAGAGAGAGAGAGAAAAGAAAACTGATTGGTTATAAAAAAAAAAAAAAAAACGAGGAAAAAAAGATTAATGATCAAGTCGCATCATTATCACTTCTGCCACTCGAAATGTTGAATATGGATGAAAATTTTCATCCATTACAAAGTAATGAAAAGCATCAAAGGTTTGTATAGATGATATCCTGCTGGAAAACTTCTGTTTGTTCCCTTTTTTTTTTGTTTTCAGTATTTTCACACATATGGTTGTTTTTTAATGATGATTAGTTTAATCATTTCTCAATATTTTCTATCCTTTTTTTTTTAATTCTTTTCACACTTAATGATTTGTTCATTTCTAGCAACAATATGGAACAACCTTTAGATTTAAGTACATCAACAAATACAAAAAATTTATTTACAATTGAATATTTAACATCAAATATTCTTAAACCAAAACAAAAACCAATATTATATTATCAACAATCACCATTACATCCATTAGAAAATAAAAATTATTCTTTAAATTCAAAATTAAATGAACATGTTGTAACAAATATTTCTAATCTATCAACAAGTAGTGTAAGTTATTAATAATAAAATAAATATTTCATTTTTTTTCTTTTTTTCTATTTTGAAAAATATTTTAAGACTAATTGTGCTTTGGAAATAGTTAATGGTGGACATGGGATTAAAAATCCATTATTTGAATGTGCGACAGAAGCACTACAAATTAAATATGGTATGAAATATATTAAATTAGTTTCACTTTTCCTTTTCTTTTTTTTTTTTTTTTTTCTCATGAATTTTTAACAGGATGAGTTATGTATGTCAATCGATAAATCATTCTTAATGTTTTTTTTTTGTGTTCTATATCGATTAGAGAAACAAAAGTGTTAATTAGAAAAAATGTATTCATTGATTTTTTTTTCTCAAAGACGAATTAAATCAAGTTGATTTGTTCATTATACACGAGAAAAAAATTTGTTCACATTGATAGATATAGTAAGAAGATCAATGTAAATCTTCTCTTCAGTTATATCATGAACTTAAAAAAAATGTTTAAACAGTCTTATATATTTTCATAAAGATATTGATTTGAGTACTTCAAAATTAAGTTGAAATTTTGTGAGTTCATTCCTTATGAAAGGTCAATAGTTCTTGAATATATTTTAAAATCTTCATCAGATAGTTGAAATACTTTTATCAATGTTCTAAATAGTGTTGGTTTTTGATTTATGTCCAGATAAAAATTTTTATTCATATATGTCAAGGAGGATGGTTAATGATGTATTAAAATCATGAACTGATCAAATTATAACATTGTGAAATAATTAATATCAATGTTTTTGAGGTTATCGAGATATATAATAGTGTGTTGAGACCTGCTGTAAATATAAGGAATGTCCTGAGGTCATTAGGGTTGGGTGGTAAGCAAAAAACAATCAATTAAACGCTGAAACTTTTCTAGAAAAAAAATAAAAATTGGGAAACATCATTCCGTTGACCTTTCTCACTGGTGACACTCTTATTAGTCTTACTGTCTTTTGCTTGACTGCATTGTGTTCTGAAATTTTTTTGGAAAAGTATCTAGACAATATGCATCCTTCATAGCAATAATGCTTTGATTGAATACATTCTATATTTACCAATATTTTTGTATAGTGTGAATATCAAGATAGTTCTGAACTTTCAAAGATTTGCTCATAATATTTAACCTATGAATCTCAAATAAATTCATAAATTCTGCTTCTAACTCAATACTTTGAAGTTCAAGCATGATTACAATCGATTGAAAATATAGAATTCCAATGCAATACACCATCATACTCACACACACTTCGAGTATTTATTAGTATCTATAGAGATTTTCTAGTTTTAGTTCTAATTTCGTGCTTAGTAAAACATGTACTATCAAAAAATCCGATATCATTTTCTAGCAGTGTTAATGAACTCAAGAGATAATATTTCGCATAAACTATTAGAATACATCAATCGTGAGAATATGATGATCGATGTAAATTTTACACGACCGTAAAACATATCAATCCCAATGAAAAAGTGTTGGTTGTTTTTTGTTTTAGCTAATTCAACAAATCATGGTGAAGAATTTTTATGTGGTTTATGTATGAAAAAATTTAAACTTCAACGTCTTCTTAATCGTCATTTAAAAAATCATAGTCAACTTAAAAGATATTTATGTACATTTTGTGGTAAAGGATTTAATGATACATTTGATCTTAAACGACATACACGAACACATACAGGTTTTCTTTTTGTTTTTGTTTTTTTATTTCAATAGATATTTATTTTTTTTTTGTTGGAAAGGTGTTCGTCCATTTAAATGTGGTCAATGTGAAAAAGCATTTACACAACGTTGTAGTCTTGAATCACATCAACGAAAAGTTCATGGATTAAGTCATACATATGGATATAAAATTCGTCGAAATAAATTATATGTATGTGAAGATTGTGGACATACATCAGCTGATCCAACAAAACATTATGAACATATAAAAAATTTTCATCCATATTCACCACTTATACATCGATATTATGATAAACGACAATTTAAATTTGATTCAAATTCATTATTATCAAATAAAACTATATCAGATGGATCAATTTTATCTGATGATGATATTCATATTCAATGACAACTTTTTCTGTCTTTTTTTTTCTTCTGAATTTGTTCGTTCATTATATTGACAAATTTGTTATGTATGTGTATTTCCTGTGAACTATTGAATGTATAGGATTATTAGAAATTTCAATGTGTTTACCTGATCAATTTAAATAAAATAAAATAAAATAAAATATATTAATAAAAAATGATTCTTGTTTTTTATTTATTGATTTATATTCTTTATTACTGCTAATGAGTTGGATTATAGGCAGCGGAATGTTTTGATTTTAGGATAGACTCAACATTTTTCTTTTTTTTTGATAAGATTCTCATTTTGAAAGTTACAAATAAGAGAAAACGTTTATTTGAATGTTACATAGATGAAATAAACTTAGTGCCTCGTGGGTAAAGTGGAAATATTCTACAAAAAAAAGATGTTGCGCTTTGAGCTTCTTTGCGGTGGAAAATGTTTAATAGGGAATATAATCTCATGAGGGAATATGTTCGAGAGATAACCTTCGTTTGAGACTTTAGATAGGACTCATAGGGTAGACAAAAATCTTGAAAGAATTCGTACCATTAGACCATTCTTTCCGAGTTATAGTCATTTTACTGAACTTTCCGATTATTGCAGGAGATCACGAGAAAAATCGAAACGAGAAGTTTCGGCTTGAAATTCTCCTCAACAATAGCCTAAAAGCTGCAGTTCAAACGGATGATTTCGTCTTAAAATATTGTATACCTAAAAACTTGGCTATTTTTGATTCTCGTGATATCCTGCTACAAGTTTCCAAAAATGACCATAACTCGAGATGAAAGGTCTAGTGGCATGAACTCTTCCAGGATTTTTATCTACACTATGATTCCTACCTGTGAGCTCGAATGGAGATTATCAATTAGACAAATTCTCTCATTAATCGCCGAAAAATATTGGTATTTTGTACAAAAGATGTGACGCACTGCTCAGATCTACCAATCTGATCGAATAAGAACAGTGTTTGAATATGCCTTAGTCTACGAAGCGTGAATCTAGGATAGATTTTGCTTTACCCAAACTTTGTAGGTCCGTCGCCTATGAATTGTATTGTGGAATAAAACTTCAAACTTTCCGTTGTTCTTCACGTGTTAATATATTAGGCTTCGGTGTATATATTTTCCACTTTGTGAATAAAAGGAATTTTACTTTCACATAGGCATGCATTAAACAGTTTGAGTCGGTTTTTGTCTCGATGAAAACAATTATCGTAACTCTCGTTTTCTGCAGATAGAAACCTGAAGCGATAGTATTCTATCACAAAATATCAATAAGAAAAGTTGGATGTTATGGTTCACTTAGGTATTGAGACAATCACGAAGATCCACAATGATTAATTTAGATTTGAATTATTATTTATTACTATATTTAGAGTACATCAGATTATCAAAGTATCTGATGCTTAGAGTGAGAAAACAATAAAAAATAACCGTTATTATACCAATGAGTTTGTACAGGAAGGCCAAAGAAGTGAACTGCGCCTCAATCTTGAAAAATTTGTCGTTTTTCTCAAATGAAGTTACAGCATTTGATTGTTTTTTTGTGCTCACCAATAGTAAAAAAAAAACGAGAAACAGCACCGCAGACCTAACCAGCTTTATAAAAAATCTTTTGGTCGGCCGTCTGAGTCATCACTTCCCCCAATCCTGAGTTTGGATGCATGTTAACTTCTACAATTTTCATCTGAAAAATATTAGCCTTATTTCAAATAACGATGTTGAACTGTTTTTGACATTTTTAAAATTGAATTTCTTCATCTTCACTTTTGATTTTTATTTATACTGTCGATTTCTGCATCTTGACCAATATCTACTGTCATCTATTGAAAAATAGATTTATATTTTTATGTTCGAATAATTTTATATATTTTCTTTAGTAGTTTAGATTAAGTTTTATCTAAAATAAAATCAAAATTTTGCATTTAATTAATATTTCGTTTTTTTTCTGATTGGTTTCTTTAAATAAACCATTGATACGTACTTTAACTAACTATTCATACGTCTTTAAGTCAGATGTAGACGCCTACACATACTAAAGACAACCTAACATGGAAAAGAAAAAACAAATGATTCAAAATTCTTTGGTTTTATTATTGTATTCTACTTCATATCTTTTCTTTTCTCATAACAATAAATAGACGATACTTGTTATTTTGTTGTTTTTCTTTTTTTAACGCATGACTTATTCTACCAAGGTAACTAACAAATATTTAATTTTAGAGAAAGAAAAAAAAAAGTAAAATTTAAAAATTGTCTTTAATGGAAGGACATAAAATAAAAACTAAATCAAAATTTAAAGTACGTCATCAAAAACATAAATTATTTCGTGCTAATGATCCATTACTTTCTGTACTTATGTGGGGTGTGAATTTCACTGTAAGTAATTGTTTTAATTAAAAAAAAAAAAAGAAACAAGTCTAGAATAATTATTCATTTATGTAGATTCATGAATTGGAAAATGTTAATATACCAGTTATGCTATTACCAGAACATTTCAAAGCCTGTGTAAAAATTCGTATTGATAATCAAAATTTTAACAAGTTCGTAGATAAAGATTTTAAAAAGACACACTTATCTTATTTTTAGAATAGTTATTTTATCACTAGATGCATTTCTTTTTCAAGGTGTAACCATTATTAGTACATATGTTGTTAATTTTCAAAACGTACTTTTTCTTTCTATATGGTGTTTGTAATGAATACATTCAACCTATAAAGAATTGAATTTCATTCGAAAAGGAAAGATAATTATTTTTTTATCTTTGTAAACTATTCTTGGCATTTAATACATATGTTTTTTTTTTGAAAAAGGTCAAGTACTTAGAAATTCGAAAAACTAAAAACTTTGAAATTACAAAATTTTAAATACATTGATTGTTCATATGTAGAAAACATATCTCAAATATTTCTACATGTTGAAATAATAAACTATATTGATATATAATATTATTTATTTAAAAGAAAGATTATAGTCAATCTGATATTCTAATACATGAGTATTAGTTTACTTTTTCAATTTTAAAGTCATGTTTTTTTTTTTTTTCTATGAATACTAATGCGATTATTAATTCTTTGCTTTATTTGTTTGTTAAATAAACAAAAGAATATTTTCTTTTTTTTTTCTAATTGAATTTTTTGTTATTAGAGAAGTAATGCCAAGTCATTTCAAAGTAAAAGAATATTGTCCACTTGTATTTCGAGCTTTCCGTGAATATTGGAAAGTACACGATAATAGTTTTCGAGTAAGTTATTTTATCTAATTTTTAATATAAACAAATATTGTAATCGATTGATTTTTTTTTGTTGTAAAGGATTCACTTACAGAACCACCAATACCTTTAAGTGAAACAGCAAAATCTAATATAACTTATTATCAATCAATGGATCGTCGTTTTATACTTAAATGCATAACAAAAGAAGATGTCGAACAAATTCATCATATTTTACCAGAATATCATAGAGTATGTATTTGAAATTAAATTATATTGAATTTATCAAATTTACAAAAAAAAAAAAAGCCGAATATTTTTTGTATTATTAGTTAAATAATCAAAATGTGGAAAGCAATGCCTATAAACCGCTTATTCATTTAGGTTATTTTTTTAGCTTGATTGAAATCTACTTATGAATAAAAAATATTAGTACAAAAAATATTAAATCTCTCAGGACGTTTATCTCACAGGAATCAGCAATAAAAAAAAAAGCAATCAAAGAATAATTTTATTTATTGATATTCAATATGATAAGATAAAGAGCTAAGCTTAATTGAGAATATACTTGCCAAAAAAAAAAGAAAAAGGAAAACAACATGCCTTTCGTTTTAACATGACTATCAACTAACATAATCAGGCGAACTATAGATTAGAAAAATCCTAAGAGAATATGATCTGAAATTTTATATACAAAATAGTCTAATTGAATTCTTCATATTGGTAAAGTTAAAATTACTTGTCAAAAAATTCTTACAAAGAAAGGCCTATGGGGACTTATTCTTTTAATCTCACTAGATTCTATCTATAGACAAAAAATATCACTTCAAAAGCTTTTAGTCACTTGATGCGGTTTCCTCGTTAGTGTTATCATTTTCGAACTAGAAAAAAATTGACATTCAAATTTTTCTTATCTTTTCATGAAATATAAAACTCATTTTGTTCATTCGTTAGCGATGTGATAGAGTACGAACTAATACTCTTATAATCGAATGAGAAGTTCCAAATGGTATCGATCCTCCAGAATCCCCTAAAAAAAAAACCGATTTTTTAAGAGTAAAGTTTTTTGGATTAATCTATGATCGTTTCATATGAGATATTTCAATTTTCTATCTATTGATTTTAGTATATTGTTGAATATCAAGGTGATACATTACTTCCTCATTATTATGCTATGTACAGATTTACAGTTGATGATAAAGAAAATTATATATTGGTTATGCGTAATATATTTTCAAGTAAATTAAAAATACATTATAAATATGATGTTAAGGTAAATGATAAATTATATTTTTTTGAAATTCAATGAATATTTTTAGGGTTCAACTGTTGATCGATATGCAACAGATAAAGAAAAATTAAATCCATGTCCAACATTAAAAGATAATGATTTTTTAGAAAAACAACGAATTATCGAATTAGGTTCTGAACAAAAACATATTTTTATGGAAAGACTTAAACGTGATGTTAATGTAAAAAAAAAAACAAGAAATTCTCAAAGCATTTTTTTATTATAAAAAAAAAACAATTTTTTTTTTTGTTGTGTTTATATAGTTTCTTGTAAATCAACATAAAATGGGTTATTCATTATTGATTGGTATTCATGATCTTGATCAAGGTGGTTTAGGTAAGAATTGATTTATTATTTTTTTTTTTTTAAATAAATTTTATTTATTTAGAACGTGAAAGACGAGCATCAATTGTAGATATGAATACATCTGATTTATCTGGTAATGAATCATCGGATGGATCAGGTAAATTAGTTTGTTGATGTTTTTTTTTTTTTATTA